CAAATACATTATTCATCTTGTCAAACTTTTATAAAATCAATAATTGTTGGCAGAAAGTATTTAAAAGTGTCTTTTTTTTCTTCCCCATTAAATAAAAGTATAATTTCTAAATGTGAAATGGGATCTCCAGATTTATGGTGAGGGAATTGGCTTCCCATCCTACTTCCACTGCTAGTATTAAACTAACATGGCGATAGATCAAGCAGATTAAAACACTGCAGGTGATTTTCAGAATTCATGGAATCTCACAGATACTCATTTTTAGGCCATGAAACTTGCTTTGGTCCAGAATGCCGTTGCTTGTGGTGTTTCTACCATTTCTTTTATCATTGTTATTTCTCTTATATTAGGAGGTTAAGATAAACTTGTATCTACCTGAAAAAAATACATCTAAAAAGTCTCCTTTCTGTGAAAGTAAGAAAAGAGAACCCATCTTTGAAAGAGAATATAATAAAATGTTTTTATTATATATATATGTATTTATTTTATACACACACACACACACACACACACACACACACACACTAGCTGCTTGATGTAGTTTCGACCTCGGGAATAATGAGAAATCATTAGAAGCAGGTGGAGTGCTGTCTGACACTTGTTTGCTTGGGACCTGTGGGCAGTGAAAGCAATGCTACTTTAAAGGCAGAATCAAATTCCCATTTCCCCCTGATTTTTAGTGCAGCTCTACAGAAACTTAGTGATATTCACAATATGCCAGATCCTGGGAAGCCCCCAGGAAAAGAACAACATGGCCCCTGTCCTGCGGATTTTCAAAGGCCCAGAGGGAAGCAGGACCTGGAAAGAGAGTGAAACAAATACCTAAGAGTGTACAGAGCAGAGGGGAAGTCCTGTTGAAGAGAAGTTTAGGGAGAGGGTTTATGGAATTGGTGATTCATGAGCATAAATTTTAAGGAAAGTTCATGAGGTGAACGCAAGGGGGCTGACAGAAAAGAGACAAAGGTGTGGAATCACAGAAGGGTAACTATGTGAGTGTAAGCGCTTGGTACCACAACAAGGCAGAGTCTAGGTGAGTGGGGGAAGAGAGATCACAGGGGAGAAGTACGGCCGGCCGTGGCGAAGAGAAAGGAAGGGCCAAACAAGCAAGGTCTCAGCTGTCGTGTGTAGGGCATTGGACTTTATCCTTAGGTGGTGGAGACCTTGCAGGTTTTTGAGCAACTCGCCTGATGATCACATTTGCATTTTGGAAGATTACTTGTGGCTGGATTATGGTGGATGGTATGATGGGAATCAGATGGTGTGGCATCATGGAGACCTAGTTAAGAGGGTGATGCAATAGTTGGAATGAGTGATGAGATGATTTTCTGGTGTAAAATTTTCTGTTGATTCACAAATACACTACCACATTTTAAAATGTCAGCAAATTGAAAATGTTTTTAGTATTCAGTAGAACTAATTCATTGCTACTTTTATAGTTTGAAATTATTCAGGAAATTAATAGCAATGAAAAGTTGAAAGAGGGTGAGTATTTTATTTGTCAGTGAAATTAAACCAGTAAACTCACAAAAAATTTCATAGTTATAATTTCACAATATAGTGGGGAATATAACTTTACAAAAATGTAATGATTTGTAATATGTACACATCTGTGGAAATTAAGCATATTTGAAAACAAGTGAATGATGTCATAGTGTCAGTGTATATAAGTATTTGTTGAATTTGCATTTGACACAGTTATAACCAAGATTTTGTATTAATTCAGGTCATGGAGTAAGTGACTGATAGTTCTAAACAGAAAGTTAAATTCCAAGTTGAGAAAGAATGAAAATATTTGTTAGGGAAAATTAAATAGCAATATATGCATATGAGTTTGTAATTTTTAAAAGAGCTTATATGAAAGATCATAGGAAATCATTGGAAAAGCACACTTGAAGATTGCTTTAAATTGTGTCACAAACAGGATGGCATACATGTCTTCTCACCAAATCTTGGTTTTGGTGCATAAATCCTTAGTTCTTCATTACCACAACAGGAAACTAAAGTCAGAACTAAAGAAATTAGAACACTCATAGCACTGTGGGGCAGTAAAATATTATAGTGCTACATCTCTTTCAGTATGAACCCAAGATTTTTATTTTTAATGTTACTGTTTAAGTACACACAGTAGTACACAAGTTATCATAAACATTAGGTTATATGTCCATAATCAAATAATGGAGTAATGATCAGTTTCCATTACGCATTATCTTTTTTTTTTTTTTTTTTTAAGGTTTTATTTATTTACTCGATGGAGAGTGAGCTAGAGAACAAAAGTTGGGGGAGATGCGGAGGGAGAGAAAGAAGCAGACCCCCTGCTGAGCAGGGAGCCCGTTGAGGGCTCCATCCCAGGACTGGAGGATCATGACCTAAGCCAAAGGCAGATACTTAACCGACTGAGACACCCAGGCGCCCCAATTATGCATTATCTTTAATTCAAACTAATGTTCAGGAATCTGATTCATTCCTTAGTGTTCGCCAAACTTCCTTTAATTATGTAGAATACTGCCTGTGCCTATAGTTTTAGGATTGCAGGGTTTTTTACTCTGCATTTGATACCGGATTGTATTTTAGTACTTAGAGATTACATTGAGGTGAGGATGAATTTGCTACACCTGATTTTAATGAAAAGTCTTTAAAAAATAACTTTTTGGTAGAATCTGCTTATCTCTGTTTTCTCCACCTCCTGACCCCCATATGATACTTGATTATAGTGTGATACTTTGAGGATATTTATTTAGCAAAATGTATTTTTACTATATATTCACCCTTATTTACTATATATTCACCCTCGTTAGGGGAATTGATGGTGACAAGTGTTTCAAAGCAGAAATCTTTTTATGCTTATTTTTTTACTATTTAATGAGATTTCAGGTATATTTTAACAACTGGGGTTTCCCTGATGAATCATTAAAATAAGTGAGTGGGTTGGAAGGTAATGCTAACTTTTCTCAGTACTGCCCTGTTTTACCCTGCCTGGGTTATTCATTGCTTTTAAAATAGAACCTGGTGTGTTGGAGTTGGTGGGTGGAGGTGCCGAAGGGAAGGGGTCAGTAAGAAAATACCAGGTAAACCTCTGATGACCTATTGGGAAGTCCTACTCAAATTTTATTTTCCCCAACTTAGAGCATTTAGTGTTTAAGTTCACTGGTTTTGTTGTTGTTGTTGTTTTGTTTTGTTTGCTCTGCCAAACTTAACTTTTTAAAAATTGTATATAGGCAAGTAGAAAATATATTTTCAGCAATTGATTGAAGGTTAAGGTATCAAGCCCTGTGTGGATTAGCCTGTGGAATCAATTTCTCATGTGTGTGGGATTAAAACCGTTAAAACCATCATCACTGAAACCATACCTTCCTACAGCTAATAGCAGTAAGGTGTCTGTGGAATATATTAATACAACAATTCCTCTGATTTAAAATTATTACCTGGTATTTGGTTGGAAAATTATTTGAATATTATAAGTAACTGAATTGACATCATATACGAGGACTAATTACAGGTTTCTAATGTGACTTAGGTTTAGTTTTTAAAAAAATTCACATGATCTATTTATACTTAGCACATCGTTTTCAATAAGTCAATGGCATATTGCAAATTTCTTTTATACTGTTAAAAAAAAAAAAAACCTACAACAGCAGTTCTGTTAGAGGAGGTAGACCAAAATGTAGTTCACCTTGAAAATGGCTCAGGGAATAAAGAAATTGGGTCAAGCTTAAAATAAATGCAGGTACAGTGACGAAAAGTTTTAATAAAAATTTAAAAATATTCACAGCCTTGGTTTCAGGCTACTTTTGTTCTTGGTGATCTTATCAATGCATTATTAGTTTTTAATTGAGATGACACTAATGGCACTTTTTTCATTTTGGTCAAAATGTTTATGTGAAATATTTTTGTGATTTTTCCCTTTGTGTCCTCTTTTAATTGTAAATATAAAGTTTTGGAAAGGCAGACAGTTCTTAAATCATTTGACCTCTGGTGATCTTAAGTAGAATTTGAAGTGGTTTAAAATTCCTGTGTCATAGCTATCATTTTGACTCATTTATATTGCCAATTTAATGTTTAGCATTTAACCATGTATCATTAAATCATAGTATCGATAATGAATTAAACTTTCATAAAGCTTTAATAGTATAGTAGATTCTCCTTCATTTGCTGTCACTGGGGAATAAAATATGCTGAAGAAATGAGTTTTTTTCTTTTTTTTAACTGAAGCTTACTGGGTTAAGCAGAAAAACTTAAAAGTTGATAAAATTTTATCTGACACACTTTGTATGCTCTTTCTGGGAGCAAGAATGGATTGGCCATTAACTTTTTTTAAACTTTTTTCTTAATGTCATAAAACATTAACATTCTAGTGTTCTGCGGAAAGGACATGGGCTTTCTGATTAGTATTTGTTGCCTCTAATAAGAAGGTTTTTTGTTGTTTTTTTCTTTGAAACAAGTGCCACACCCCTCATTGATATACTTACTCAGTGATTAACCCAGGCACTTATTTAAGACCTTTGGCTATGGCTTGCCTACCATCTTCTGGCAAACACCTGGCCACAGCTTCAGGCTGTAAAGAAGACCGCTTCCTTGCTTAGAAGTAAGCGTGCTCAGTGTTCAGAATTGCTGCTCAAGCACTCACTCCCTATCACTCCCTAGCAGCCATTGATAGTGGTCCCTGATGTCTGTATTCACCCATGCTCCTGAGCATCTGTGGTGTCAAAGTGACCACCTGCCATCTTCTGGGATTATTGCTAAAATGAGCAAATGGCACATTCCCTTTATCTTTTAGCAAATTTTAGCATAACAGCAAAAATTCTTTTTAACAAGGTGTTATTTTTTTTTTTTTTTAACCTGATACTTGTTTGTTTCAAGCAGTGTTTTCTAAAAACTCAAGCACAGTAAGAGTATTTGCACTGTTCTTTAATGTGCTATAATGACATTTGGTTTGAATTTTATAATTAAAAATCAGCTTCCTCTCTTTTGCTTGCACCTAATGGGAATCATCTTTCTTCCAGGTTACGCTTGAAGAAGACTATAGGGAAGAATCCATTTTCTTCTTGCCACAAAAGTTGCAAGAGAAGTAAGTAGGGGAACTGCCAGGTTATGTCTGTCTCCACAAAACAAGCAGAACAAATTTCCATGAATCAAAGCCACTAAGTATAGTTTTCAGAGATGGTAGGACATAGTTACTCTCCCTAGGAAAATACCAAAAACGCAGGCACACCCATTGGCCACTAGAAAAATGCTCAAGTAAATGCTAGTTCAAACCTGTACATTTCACTCTTCTTACTGAGCTATTAAAGGGGTGGAAATCTACTATAGCTATAATCTTTTTTTCCCCTTTTCTATTTTTCGACCTCCCACATGCTTGGTGTTCAGTTCTGCTTGCTGAATGTCTTGAATCTTCAGCAGCACCTACACATGCTGCCTCCACATTGGCTTATGGTTTGCAGATAACTCATGATTCAGACCCATAAGTAACACCTGTAAATACATGGCATGATATGTGCTGTAGATTAATCATTTAAAAGGGCAAAGGAATGAAGAATCAGAAAGCTTTTTTTCCCTTCTAATATTGGTGTTGCTTTCTTTGAGGTTATATGAATGAAATATTCTTTAGAGTGATTTAGATCACATCCTATCACTTCGGGAAATAGCTCAGGTCATTTTTACCACAACCTTTTAAGGATATATAAGGCATATACACCTTGTCATGATTAGATCAGAGGAAATAAACCAAGATAGAGACAACTGTGATGGGATCTAGTAAGCAAACTGTTAACTGCTTTTAGTCTGTCTTGAAACCTTTGATATAACTTTCAAAATTGCCTTATGTTGGTCTCTCAGTTGCCTTTCTAAAAGTTTCCATTATTTGAAGGATTACAGGCTACCATTTTGTGAAACTGATCTTATTGAACCTTGTGTTTATTAGAGGTGGTCTTTAACTGGCCTGAAAAAAGCCAAGCCAGTGCATAGCTCAGCCCTAAGCTTACTTCTTCCCAGGTACCTGTGAGGCTCTCAAATTCTTATTTGAAATGCAAACTGCTAATGAGGAATGGGTAAAACCTACCACACTTCCCACCAGTCCTTGGTTGAGAGGGGGCTGTGACTGAAAATTACTGATTTTAAAATGCAGGAGGATACAAATATATCCTTTCCCTTATGTAAGGTGATTTATACTGAAAATGGGAGGGCAAAATATCTTACTACTGTTTGTTAGTTATTAGGCTTCAGTTTTATCTTCACAACACACCTCTGAGGTTAGTATTGTTACCCTCATTTTACAGAAGGTGAGACTCGAGTCCTACAAAGTTAGGTAACTTGTCCAAGATTACACAGCTAGGAAGTGACACTGCTGAGCCTCAGACTTCTATCTCCCTGACCCCAGAGTTCATGCCTTTCCCAGCTGAGGAACACTGCTTCTTATTTTGTAGAGAAATGAAATATGTACTTGTATGTTTTTTTTCTTTAAAAATGCTTATTGGAGGGGCGCCTCTGTGGCTCAGTGGGTTAAAGCCGCTGCCTTCGGCTCGGGTCGTGATCCCAGGGTCCTGGGATTGAGCCCTATATCGGGCTCTCTGCTCAGTGGGGAGCCTGCTTCCCTCCCTCTCTCTGCCCGCCTCTCTGCCTACTTGTGATCTCTGTCAAATAAACAAATAAAATCTTAAAATATATATATAAAAATGCTCATTGGAAATTCAGACATCAAGAACTAAACTTTTTTCATTCCAGCCATATCTTTGAGAACCATTTGAAACTTTCTCCTTTGAAATGCAGTTTAAATAGGCATTGGTTTGAACAAGGTGAAGTGCAGTTTTACTAGTAAAAAGCATCATTGAGGGTATCTGGGTGGCTCAGTTGGTTAAGTGTCCAACTCTTGGTTTTGGCTCAGGTCATGATCTTAGGGTCATGAGATCGAGCCTCACATTGGGCTTTGTGCTCAGAATGAGTCTGCTTGAGATTGTCTACCTCTCCCTCTCCATCCGCTCCTACCCTGGCTTGCACTCTGTCTCTCTCTAAAATAAATAAAATCTTTTTTAAAAAAGCATCATTGAGTTGTTGAGACTAATAATTTTGTGGAACAGCATTATTAAGAAGAACAATATGCTGTTTAATGAGGTATTTACTTGAGTCATAAAGGAAAATTCAAACATCTGGAATATTTCTTAAACAATGTATTTATGTACAGAGTGATGTTTCTTCCTTACTTCTTACAGGAAATAGCATGTAATTTGAAATGTATATGGATTTTTTTTTACATTTACACATACATTTTTATTTCACTGAGCACATTAACAAAAGTCATATTATTAAACCAAAAAATTGCTTATATAGCTAACTTGATGAGATGGAACATTTACCATGTCTTTATTTTTTTTTAAGACTTTATTTATTTATTTGAGAGAGAGAGAGTGAGAGAGTGAGAGCATGAGAGGAGAGGAGGAGGAGCCGGGTTGGGCAGAGGGAGAGGGAGAAGCAGACTCCCTGCTGAGCAAGGAGCCCAATGAGGGACTCAATCCTAGGACCCTAAGATCATGACCTGAGCCAAAGGCAGTTGCCCGACCAAACAAGCAACCCAGCACCCTACCATGTCTTTAATAAAACATTACTTTATCTCTCTTAATGGGATTGTTGTTTAAAGAAAGGTTGTAGAAACCTTGCTGGTTCATAGGCATATAGCTTTACCCCCCTTTTTGGGTTTTCCTTTGCAGGTGGGAAATTGGTGATAATGGGGAGGTGGTCAAGGTATGTGCAGTGTCTCAAGAAATTGTATCGTAAGATTTTTAACATTAGAGGTTTGAGATTTAAATATGAATGTGCTTTCTTTCTACATATGGAGTCTCTGGGGCAGGGATAGCTGGTGAATTTAAAAGATGAGTGAATGTCACACTTAGAGAATTCTAAACTGGATAGGGTCTTACAAACAAAGGGCTCTTGGAGTGGAAGTCTTAGGAGATGAGTTCAGTGACTGAGAGTAGTAGAGCTCCAGGCCAAGTCACTCCCTGGTTACTGAGTCTGGGTCCCAGCCATTCCAACCAGGAAGTGAATGATCACAGCAGGGGAGGGCTTTAAACTTCCTGGGGCTGGAGAAAAAAAACCTGAGTCATTGTGGAAGTAATCTTAAGGCAAGAAGAAAACAGAAATTCGAAAAATAAGCGTCCTTTATTTCCTCTTGTTAACACAAATGATGGAAAAATGCTGATTACAAAAATATAAACCCTAAGTGTTGGTACTTTTTTTTTTTTTTAAAGATTTTATTTATTTATTTGACAGACAGAGATCACAAGTAGGCAGAGAAGCAGGCAGAGAGAGATAGGAGGAAACAGACTCTCTAGGCTGAGAAGCAGGCAGAGAGAGAGAGGAGGAAACAGGCTCTCTGCTGAGCAGAGAGCCCGATGCGGGGCTCGATCCCAGGACCTGGGATCATGACCTGAGCTGAAGGCAGAGGCTTTAACCCACTGAGCCACCCAGGCGCCCCAGTGTTGGTACTTTTTAAAAAATAGTGGGACGTAGCATATTTTTAAAAAATTAAGCGTCTGTAAATTATTTGCTTTCTGAGTGTAATATTTTAAGTTATTTTAAAAAGTCTTGATGCACACACACATACATACATATGTTGGAAAAATATTGTTTTGCTTATGATTTAGAATCTGTGAAGGCTTGAAAGGGCCCATGAGTCTTCTCATCATTGAGGCGTTCTATGGAGGGTCCCATAAACAGCTGGTGGATCTTCTTCAAGAAGAGTTAGAAGACTGTGTCCTTTATACCCTGCCTGCAAAGAAATGGCATTGGAGAGCACGGACGTCAGCTTTATACTTCTCCCAGAATATTCCCATCAGTGAGCAGTACAGGTAATTGGAGCTCGGGCTGCACCTTCAGCCTGTTTTTACTGTATGTGGTATAAGGATGTTGCTTCTGTTGGCATCTATGAGATTTTCGCCAGCCATGGAATTGGTCAGTATGGCTACAATAGACCCAGCAGAGCAGGAGAGTTCATTTACACTCTGAGGACAGCTGGCTGGTAGAACAGTGGTCCCTTTAGAACCTAAAAGCCTTTTCTCATCTGTCTTGTGATGGTATCACATGCATGTGTGTGGGTGTGGAGACATTTTTGGCCTCAGAGGAGAGTTGATTTGGGGCACGTTTTTTGTTGGTGGTGTTCCATAACCTCCAGTGTCTCTTGTAGTGAGTGTGCTATTTTTGGTTAATTTATTGTGTCTGCTCTGTACTAGGAGCTAAGGCTGAAAAGGCAGATGTGACCACAATCTGTGCCCTTAAAGCTTTAAAGACTACTGAGGTAGAGATGGACTTGCAGGTGCAAAGTGAGCGTGAAAAATGGAGGAATTAATTTTGACTGTGACAAAGTAGAGGTGGCTTTCTAGAGCTGGTCAACCTTTGCTTCGTCTTCAGCGATGAATAGATTTGGGGCATGTAGGACTCAGTTCTGAATTCTAATCAGTTAGGAAGTGGGAACTAGGGGTACCCAGTAGAGATTCTTTTGGGACTAGAAAGATGAATGAGAAATAGTGATGACGTTTGATGGGGAACAAGTAGAATACTGAACATCCTGATCTTTTTATTCTCTATTGGCATATACTGTCTTATGTCTCCTGCTTGGTAAACAGTGGGAGATTATCCTCCAGTGTATTATAGATCTGCTCTTCTTTTCATTCTGGGCCCTTCCGTGTAGAACGGCATTGGTGTAAGCAGCACTATTAATAATGGATAGGGGAGACAGATTGTTGGAGACAGGGCACGTTGTGGGCTGCCGTGCTCACCATGCCTTCAGCAGCTGCATCTATCTGTTGCTGCTTGTAAGGTGGAACAGTCACAAGGGAGACAGTAGCTTGGGATTTAAATGTAGGTTACTGTTCTTTGGAGTAATAAGGGGGATTCAGAGAATAACCCATTTCGTGTATGAAAACCATGCATCACGTCTGAGCATTCAGATGGTCAGGTGGAATAGCAGTGAGCACTCGAGTCACTTTGCTTGGGATTATAAAGGTAAAATTCTGTTTGGGGACATATTAAGAATTTATTTTTCTAATCAAAAGTGTATTTTCCCTTCCATAATTTAATGTTTTATATTCTGATATCACTAAGTGAATATGGTTGATGGATAGTATTAGAAATTTCAATGAGTATATCATTATAAAAGTTCTAAGGGCAATGATAAGACTGTTGCTGTGTTATAATATGACTGTTTAATAGTTGCTTTCACATCTCATTTAACTGTGTATCATGGCACCAAATGTATTGTCTTACTTAGGGTCAAGTGATCCCGTTGACTTTACGACACGTTTTCATTTAACGTTATTTGATATAATGCATTTCTACAATGACTTGAACATTGAAACGAGCCATTTCTCTATCTGCTGTTAGATTTCATTTTGATTAGGCAGTTTTTCAGCATGAAGTTGTTGTGTCACAAACGTATGTGTGTGGAGAGTGTGTGTGCAAACCGTCCTGTGCAATGGCTTCTCCACTGCCTGTGAGGCCGGAAGCAATGAGGATCAACATCACAGCACTCGCTGAAGCAGTCTTCCTGGGGAGGTGGATTGCTGTAAGATTGTGCTGTAAAGGTTTACTCTCTGATAGTCACAACCTACAGGGCCCAGCAGTGGTATCTAAGATCTTTCAAGGTCGGTCATCTAAGCTGTGCAGATTAATCTAATCAGACTTCACTAAAAGATATACCTCACCAGTTGAACCAGAGTTATATTTGACCAGTGATAACTTATCTACTCTTTTGGAATACTTTTGGAAAAGTAGCAACAGCTTGAAAACTTACACTGAGTTAAAAAAATATGCTCACTCAACCCCACATTGAAGTGTAAGAAAAGTCTTTTGCTTATAGCAGATAAATCTGATCTCTGTGGAGACTTCTAAAGATATGAAGAGTTTTTGTCTTAGTTAGTTAACTCTCTTTGTGCACTTGGGAGATGAAGTCATCACAATTCAGAAAGCACTAGTATTACATACTATGCAAAATTACTTGGAACAGGTAGGGACTGTGTCTGATGAAAAAGACCCTGAACATAGGTACACACATTATTTTTCTCAGCTTCTGTACATACAGTCATTATTGTCTTGAGCTTATTATGCAGAAAATATTTTATTACTAACAGAATAAATGCTTTAGCCTGATTACTCAGTTTGATTTTGCTTTATCTTGGTAGCTAGAAGAATACATCATGGGTCACATTTGGAGCTATTTAATTTTATCATAGATTACAAAAGCTCTACGGGTTATTTTTCCCAAAAGTAGTTGGTAATGATTGTTCCTGAGGTTATATTAAAATGTTCCCTTCTGAAAACCACAAAATGCAGAAAAATGTCCGAGGATAGGCCTTAAATTTCATATTCTGAAATGTATGAGTCATTTGTCCCAGGATTAGCAGTTTGACTTTCTTAGATATACCTAGAGTAGGCATCAAAGATATTTCACTCATTTTTTTTTCTTTACTGAGCTGAGACAATCACTGTTACTTAAAATCATTTTTTTCACTCTCAGCGGCTTACAATTATATTTTTCATTCCATCCGAGGTACTGTAGCAGATTCTGATCATTGGCCACTTAACAGCCCTTCTTCCTTGTTAACAGAATCACACTTGTCTTTGGAGTGGCTAAGTACCCAGCCCCTGGGAGTGAAGCATGATTGACCTGAGTTGGTCATTATGATCCCATTCTCTGCCCAATTTTCCCAGCTTTCCTTGCAGTTAGTGCTGGTTAGTGACTAGGTTTTGGCAAATTAGACTTAAGTGGATGACTTCTGGGGGTTCTTCCAACAAAGTTTGTTTTGTTTTGTTTTTAGTTATGAAAGGAGGAAGCCATTTTCGTCTCCTGCATTTGACAGTGGTTGTGATGTCCACAACCATGACATGACAGGACGAGGACAAATTGCCTGGGCTGCCAAAAATGGCTGATGGAAGGCTGGAAAGAGCCTAGATTTGACTTCTATTTTGGGCAATAGAGCTACCTAGTCACCTGAAAACCTCTCATCTCTAGAAATGATTCATAAAGTGTAACAACTTTCCTTAAAGTCCATAGCTAAGCAAAGTAAGAGAGGATCTGAAGAAGGATCTGGAAATTAGAATGGTAGCTGGCCTTGAAGCTCTGGCTGCCTATTTTCATAAAGGGGACCGGTTAACTTAGGTGACATTCTGAAATGAAATATCGTACAGTTTTGACCTGAATTAGGAAGATTTCTATGTGCTCTCATGGGAACCTCTCCAAGACATTTTCAGTGACAGAAACTAAGGTGCTAGACAATGTTATTGGTATAGAGAAAGGAGGTGATGGGAACAGAGCAATGGAAGAGTGCACTGGAGATGAAAAAGAACTGGTCTGAAGATCAGCATGGCAGAGGACGTCAGTACCCACCCGTATCCCTCCGACCTTCCCTTTCACGGCACCTTGGCCAGCTTCCCATGCCCGCGTGTGCAGCTCTTTGCCTGAGGGAGCAGCTGGTCTGCCCTGCATGCAGCGGGCTGTGAGCAGCCCTCCACCAATGATCTTCGCCCCTCGGATGAAATCATTCTGGTGTGTGTGCAGGAGAGGAATCGTTAGCAAAGATTCCTTAAAAACCAGTCAGAAAATGTACAAGCGTAATTCTAAATAACTCCTGGGTCACAGGAGAAATCACAGCAGATAATAAAAAATAGGACTGAATCATAATGAGCTTATTGTATATCACAATGCGGGTTGTATCTAAATTGACCGTCACAGCCACATCATCTTTAATAAATTTATTTTTATTATTTTTTACTTATGATATGCAGGCCCTCTAAAGCTTGTGACCCAGAGTAAGGACCCTCTTACTTGAATCTAGGTGTAGTATTGGGAAGGAAGGAGTAAAAAGAGTGAAAAATAGTGAAGTTGAAAGCAAATGAAAGTGGAGATGAAGAAACTAAGAGTTACTTTGAGATAATAAAATAGATAAACACAGGCATGATTTTGTTTAAATTTATTTTTTTAAGGCACAAATAAGTTTTGGAATTATGTAGCTATAGACCTGTGGATATGGCACAGATCAATAAAAAGGGGAAATGCTCTTAATAGTTTTATGTCAATAGAGATGAAACCTTAGACAAAAGAGGGAATTTCTTAGAGAAACATAACTTACAAAACCTCACTTAAAAAGAGACAGAGGGGCGCCTGGGTGGCTCAGCATTTAAGCATCTGCCTTTGGCTCAGGTCATGATCCCAGGATCCTGGGATCAAGTCGCACACCGGGATCTTTGCTCAGCAGGGATCCTGCTTCTCTCTCTGCCTGCCACTCCCCTTGCTGTGCTCTTTCTCTCTGTCAAAAAAAAAAAAAAAAAAAAAAAATCTTTAAAAAAAGTGAAACAGAAAGCCTGAATGGAATTATAGTGATTAAAGATCATGCATTAGCTAAAAATTTGCCTACTACAAGACTGAGGCTGGGTGCCTGAGCAGGGTTGGTTCACTGCACTGGGGCCTCCTTGCCTCTTTTGAAACTTGTGTTACATGAGATTGAGTCCCTGGTGTTCTAGGTTTTCTGTTTCTTGTACCCACACAAGTCCTAACTGTTAATAAATGCTGATTATCATTATGATACCTTTTACTTCTCCACCCCGCCCCCCCATTCCCCCCCCACCCCCCCCCCCCCGCTTTTTTTAAATGACCAAAGAGGGGCAAGGAAAGCAAGTAGTTGGATAGGAATTAAATTGAAGGACAGTTCAGTTGGATCAAGCAATGCCTACAGTGAAATTAGAGCTTACAGTGATATGTGGCTGTTGATAATTCTGTTTGATTTGCCATAGTCTTGAATGGTTTCATGATTGTGGCCTTTCACTAAGCAGGTTCTCTTTCAAGGAATGTGTGAAT